CCCTACGAACCACTCTCAGCTATCTAATCAATCGCCACCTATTGTACTACGGCGAGTGATCAGACGATCGGTGGGCGGAGATCGCCGAACCTCGCCAACTTTGAGCCATGCTAGATCGCCGAGGTCAAATCTTTCGATGCCAATTGCGTGTCTGTCCGCACCCTCAAGAGATTCACCGCTCTCCCCACTAGGCGATTTCTCCCTTCTTCGACCTTCGTTCTTTCCGTGCAATCCTCCTTTAAAGGCACGAGTCGGGATGAATTGGTGTGTTATTTTGTTCGAAAATTAGCAAGAAGTGCAATGAGGAACATTAGTGAGGAGAAAAAGCAAAAAGCACCATAGAAAACACTAAATTTCCCTTGTGAGGCCGGCCGTGGTATGACGGAGAGACACAGCGCTGCGAGGAGAGGGAAAACGCGAGATAGCACGTCGTACGCGAGAGGGCGCAGACACCACGTATGCGCGATTGAGAAGGATTAGAGCCGGACAGCACACAAGGCAGGGCCTTAGGCCGATGTCATAGTTTGCGAATCGCTGGATCCGAGCGTTGCGCCAGCGAATCGAACGTTGCACCAGCGAATCGAACGATGCACCAGCGAGTCGAACTATGTACCAGCGACTCAATAGTGGCGGGACCCAACGTTCAAAGGAAGCCCGCCACTTTCAAACAGTGTCCACTGTCAAGTCCCGCCACTTTCAAAAAGGGTCCACTGTCACGTGACACTGTTGAAAGTGGCGGGCTTCCTTTGAACGTTGGGTCCGCCCCATTGAGTCGCTGGTACATAGTTCGACTCGCTGGTGCAAAGTTCGATTCGCTGGTGCAACGTTTGATTTCGCTGGCGCAACGCTCGGAAGCTTCAGCGATTCGCTAGGAATATTTGACTCGTTCGCAAGTATGCGGCCTTAGCGCCGTTGCTGCCTTTTGAGGCCAGGGTCGTTGCACCTGGGACAAGTGTCGTGCACTTGCGGCTTGAGACCTCTTTTCTCACACTAGGATGGTCTATTATGGACCTAATCCACCCGTGCTCTGAGTTCATCGCTCTGAACATGTGGTTAATGTGTGAGGGGCATTTCAAAGGACAAATAAGCTTAATGCACTCTTACCAGACGGCTTACAAAGTATTGTAACAGAAAGGTTGGATTATCCACATTCATTACACTTTTCCATGTTCGTCTGCGAGGGCCTTCCCTTATTGTGCGTGTGATGCTTACCTGTGTAAATGGTTGCAAATATTCGTTTTGAATAAGCGTTCCCGAAAACACCATTGACGGGTTGATGCTCTGCGATTTGATCACACGCCAAAATTGTTGATTGCCTGAAAAGCACTGTATGTGCAAAACGGAGTGGATCACAAAGAAGATGAAAGTCACAGGAAAAGACGCACTCTGAAAATTGCTACGAGGTCTGAATTAGCTTCGCTGGACGAAATCGTTGCAAAGTTTTCGCCTTGACCACTGCGCGACGACTGACTGGAGGCCCATGGATGGGCAGTGTGTTCGCATAAGCTTGAGCGTCGTGCTCCAATGTCGTGCTGTACGTCTGGAAAGCACCTCAAAATAGTTGTATGACATGGAAGAGGCTATTCAAAAAGAAAATTGTTTAGTCTGTACAGGAAACTAGGTGGTAAAAAGCCTACGCCATAAATAGGCATGCTACTGTACGCCAGGGTGAATATCGGTCGAGGATCCGGCGACTGCTGCTCGTCGAGTATTTCCGCCTGTTCAGTCGCACCCCACC